GCTGAAGGAAGGGAGATGGGAAGTGGAGTGGGTTGTGTCAGAATAAGGTGGTGCTGAGATCCTACTGGGCGGGGGTGACGGGACTTGCTATGAGTTCTTGCAGTGCTTCCAGCCTCCGCTGGCATTGCTAATATTCTATTTTGTATGTCCCTCCATGTGTACAAAATAAGCCCTGTGTATCAGCTAACATCATAATGGTAGTGGTTCAAAATGGAGGACAGAGTCCACAGGTGGTGTTGTGTCACCAAATTTGGCTTTTTGAGGAGGCTTTCATGGAGAGAGGGGAAGTTTGAGATGTGCTTAAAATTTTACTCAGAGACTTATGAACGTAAGAAGAACCCTGGTGGATCAGGGCAGGAGTCCGTCTAGTCCAGCATCCCATCTCACACAGTGGCCAACAGTAGGCCATGGAGGCTGAGGCCTTCCCTGATGTTGCCTCCTGGCACAGGTATTCAGAAACTGACTGCCTGTGCATGGGAAGGTTCCCTTTAGTCACCATGGCTAGCAGCCACTGATAAACCTATCCTCCACGAATCTGTCTAATCCTCTTTTAAGGCTTCACTTGTAGCCATTGCATCCTTTGGTAGCAAATTTCGCATTGTCACTCATGTGAAGAAAAATGGTCTCTCGCTCATCTTAGAATCTGCTGCCCATCAACTTCATTCAATGCCCTCAAGTTCTAGTGTTTTGGGAGAGGGAGAAAGTGTTCTCTGTCCACCACCCTGTGTATAATTTTATAAACCTCTTATTATGTTCCCCGCTTAGTATTCTTTTTTCTATACTAAAAAGTACCAGACGCTTCAGCCTTTCCTCATAGGAAAGGTGTTCCAACCCCTTAAGCATCTTGGCTGCTCTCCTCTGCACTTATGCACTGTCCTGCTGTTAGAGGACAGATTAGAATTCCATATCTGGAATCAACCTGCTCTGTGCCGGTGAGATGAATGCTTGCAGTACAAATGGTATAGGTGAATTAAGAAATGTAGGCATATTTGAATATGCCTGAGAAAAACTGAGAAGTACCTGTTTATTTCAGAGTTCTTTATTTCCTTTGAGGGAATCAACTGGAAAATAATTCCAGATTTCTTGTGGGAATCGGTGAAATGCTGATTGTGCTGCTGTGGGAATAGATCATGTCCTGATAGCCATGTTTCCTTTCTCTTTGGGTTTACTCTTACGATGAGCAACTATGTTTGCCTATTCACTTACGTCCAGAATTATTGTGAGGGTTCCAAAACATATGGAATGCATAGATCCTGTTCAGCTAATGGACGAGGTGCTTCTTTCCAAGTTTGATGTCACAGCACAGGGGAAAGAGAGTCTTCCCTGGCATTCTAAGACCCACCCACCCCCCATCTTGTGGCTCAGTTTATGGTTTCAGCAGCATGTTGTATGCTGGTCACTATTTCACTCAGTTGTGGACTGGGCTGGGGGTGAGGAAGCTTCAGGTCTGCAGAAGACCAGGTGGTAGGCTTGAAGCGAGACGTCCTAAAGAACTGACAAAGGGCTGGGGGTGCCAAATCCATGCATAATGTTTAGTAGCCAGCCAGGAGAGATGCTTTGTACCAGCAATTGCTACTTTAAATACCTTCAAGCTTTTACACACACACCCTTTGGGGGGGGGGGCTTGCCTTGATTGGATCAGGCCTGGTGGAAATCCTTGGGGAATGATGGCTTCCCTGCTTCTTATGGGCTGCTTGTAGCCCTTGCTTCTCAGGGGTGTGTGTGCTTTTTTACAACCACCTGGGTTCAGTTTAGACCTGGTAATTCCCTCTACAAAACAGCTGTAGGAGAAGGATGCCTGGCCACTGCTTAGTAATGAAAAAAAAAAAGCTCTTCCCATGCTCACCTTTCGAGCCCACTTTTCACCTTCTCTTGGCACAGGAACTTTACAGACCAGCTGCGCAAAATCTCCAAGGATGCAGGGATGCCAATCCAGGGCCAGCCTTGCTTCTGCAAATATGCGCAAGGTGCGGACAGCGTGGAGCCCATGTTCCGGCACCTTAAGAACACATATTCTGGGCTTCAGCTCATCATAGTCATCCTCCCAGGGAAGACGCCAGTGTATGGTATGTTAGCAGGAGTGCTGAGAAGGGTGGGAAAGACAGAGAACGAAGGTTGTATGAAGCCAGATAATTTGTGTGTACCAGAGAGATTTGTGTGTATTTTTGTTCGTTTGTTTTGCTTTTCCTCCAGAGAGCACAGATTTCAGGCTGTTCAGCTGGCCCTCTCTCCTTCTCCTTCTAAGTACAGGGGTGCTGGGGCTTGACCCAAACAGGGATAACTGTTTGCTACACTATGTTTCCTTTTCTTTTTGCATTTTTGCATTTGTGTGCGTGCTCATGCCTGGAAGTCATGGTGACCTCTGGTGACTCCTACTGAGGCAAGAAGGACATTCAGAGAAGTGGCTTGAAAGCCTGCCTCTGCCTCCCAGCCCTGGTGTTCTTTGGAGGTCTCCCATCCAAGTACTTGCCAGGGGTGGGCCCTGCTCAGCTTCTGAGATTTGACGAGAAGGGACTTGCCTGGGCTAACCGGGTCAGGGCCGACACTGATGTGTTTCCATGTGGTGTTCTAGTTCCCCCCCCCCCCACACACACACACACTTATTCTACAATCCCAGCCTAACTGGATTATTTTGTTTTACTAGGAGTTTTTGCTGGTAGATCACAACATATGATAAAGTTTGAATCTGCTCACTGATCAACTGAAACTTTTTTTAAAAAAGTATTCACCTCCCCCAATACTATCTGGCCCTAGTTAGAATTGGTAATTTGCAATGTAAACCGCTCAGAGAACCTTCGGGATTAGAGCGGTATAAGAAATTGAAAGTATAAATAAATAAATATAAATAAATAAATACTTGTAATCTGCCTTTACTATTACAATAGTAGCAACAATAGTAATAATAATAATAGGGATAGGCCCCGATGCCTTGACAAGCTAACTTACTGTATCCAGGACACTTTTTCCCCTGCATGGGGAAGAAGTGAAAAAATGTGGATCCCCCTGAACTCCTCACTGAAGTGATGTACTTCAGAAAGGAAGGACTTGAGCATTTGTGTGTGTGTGCGTGTGTATTTTAAATTGTCTTTACAATTCTCAGCCCTTCTCTAAACACTTATCTAACTGAATGAATGCAATTTCAAATTCTATTTTGAAGCACCATTTCCAGAAGCTCGCCTGCTATAACATTCTGCTATTCCATCCCCAGCGGAGGTGAAGCGTGTGGGTGATACACTCCTGGGAATGGCCACGCAGTGTGTGCAGGTCAAGAACGTAGTGAAGACTTCACCGCAGACACTCTCCAACCTTTGCCTCAAGATCAATGTCAAACTTGGAGGAATCAACAACATCCTGGTGCCCCATCAGCGGTAAGCGTGCCGTCCAGAATCGGCGTCCTTCATGTCCCCCATAGTGGGGGACACAACCCTGCTGCCACTCTGCACAGCTGAACCTGAACACACGATCCCAAAATTTTTCAGCTTTAGCTCAAAACAAAATTTGGGGGGGGTGTGATACTGGCCAGAGCAGTGGTTGTCATGAGCAGCTCATCTTTAACTGCTGAAACTTCATCTAGCATTGACCACCAGCCTTCATTGTGACCTTTGAAAACTCTTTAAAAGATCAAAAATTGAGATAACTAAAATTGGCATCTAATCGCAGACCTTGTACTTGCAAAAGCATAAAGGCAAACAGTCATGTTTATAAAGGCTTAAACAACCATTTGTGACCAGAATGGGCAAAGGGAGGGTTTGTACGGTCCCAGTTTTTTTCTACCCCCCCCCAGTTGCTAGTACTGTTCTCTTCTCACCACAACTATTTCTCCCACAATATATTGCCCTCATTCTTTGCAATGCAGCCCTCCCCCAAAGTCACTTGAGAGCTTATTTTGAATACACTATTCCATGAATCCTTGGGGCTGAACTTAAATGAGGAGGGAGGTGGAGAAAGAACATGTTGCCTGTGGTTACGGTTTTATCAATTGCTGTCATTTTTACAGAATGAGGTATTCCCCCCTCAAAAAATCTTTAAAGAGGATATGATCATTATAGTGGTAACACCCCTCCTACCCACTCCCCTCCCAGTCTTTGTTTACACTTGGCGTTCATTTCCTTCTCTGTATGTTTCTCTTGTGCCCACAGCTCTGCCGTCTTTCAGCAGCCAGTTATATTCCTTGGAGCAGATGTAACCCATCCACCAGCAGGAGATGGGAAGAAGCCCTCCATAACAGCCGTAAGCTGTTTTATTTCGCTATTTTATCTTTTTCTTCACTTTATGAACGGAAATGCACTTTAACTGTGCTTCTTTCTTTTTCTGCACTAATTATGAACTGGTATGTATACAGACTTTCTCTACAAACCTTCTGTCACGACCCCTTCTCCGGGGAGGTCTGGTTTTACTTTAAAAGTGTTCTTTATGTTTGGTTCTACTGTGTATATCCGGCTGCCACCAGGAAATTTAAGGCTTTCCAAACCTTTATACTATAATATTTCTATCACTGGGTAGGTGGGTCGAGGTTTTAGGCTTTCATGAAGGGTCTATGTGGTGCCTGAGGAAGTATTTCTTTTAGAACTGGTATACAAGCTCTGCTCCCTTTCTGTCAGGGATTTTTCAGGTAACTTTGTAACTTTAACTCAAGGTCATATAAGTTCACTGTTTCTCTCCAGGACATACAGCCTTTCCTAAACTTTTCTTCTTTTCTGAACATCAACAGACAGCTTAACTGTTTTCACACAGAACAGTTTCTCACTTCTTTCATACACAGAGCTTAACTGAACTTCTGTTTCTCTCACAGAACTCAGAACTTAACTAACTTATCAACTGTCATCCTCAACTGTCAAACCTCTAACTGTCACTCCTGAAAGACATACTTATTCATCCACTCAGAAACCCTTTCTAAAACCCCTCCTCCTCTCTGTCACTCACCAATCACACCACACTTGTCTCTTCAAGCACTCTAGTCCATCACACGCCATGCAACCAAACTTTTAAAGAGACACACACCCATAAACAAGGTATTGTTACACCTTCCCTCTAAAATAAAAATGCACATGTGTACTATATAAATATGAAGCTGTAGAAATCATGGTAGCCACACCACAGGCCTCATCCAAACCCTCCTGCTTCCCTGGCAAGTATCACTGACATCCTCTACCTGCCGGAGGTCACTTCAGAGTGGGACAGAAGGGGCAAACATCATTCATTTTGGTCTGGGCCTTGAATTTGCTTCAACACCTGGGGACATGCCATGGGTTGGGGTTCACGGCTTCTGGTACATCAGACATAGTTCTCAGGCTGTGGCGCTGCCTTTGCATAGGAGGTCTGAGCATGTGGTAGAAACCCAAGGGCTGCTAGACTGAGGCAGAGAAGCAGAATGTATAAAGGAACAGACCTGACTGACTGGCTGAGTGCCAACTGCTGCCGCTATTACTACCCTTCCCCACTGTTCTGCCAACTTGGCTGCCATCCATTCCTTCTTCTATGGCGAGCCCTGCCAGGGTCCTCTGCACGGCCTTAAGCCACTCCCGGATGATAACTGCCTCTCATGACACTGGGGGAATTGGGCAACAGTTTCTCCAGGATCTTCTCCATCTTCCCCACTGGGTTTTGTGGAATCCCAAAGTTGCTTTGATACAGCCCAGGCCTGGAGACCGAGCAAGTGACCAAAGCCACGAGAGAGAGGAGATAATGGGTCTGTTCCTCCCCTGAGAGGGCAGTCAGGGGAGGAGAGGAAGTAAGTACACTTGGGGAGGGAGGGGATCTGTGCTAGGATCAGTCATGGATGGGTGTGGGGAGGGCAGCTGTGCAGGAAGGAAGGAATTGGACTGGAAGGTTGGTGACTGAATATCCCCTGTGGGAGTGTTATAAGGTGTTATGTGGGAATTTGTAGGTAAAATACCCTGCTTGGCTTTATTCTGTACTAGCTGGATTTGATCATCTAGTCCTGGTGTTCTGAATTTTCTTCTGTCCCTTTCACCGTTCATGCTTTGCCTGGATGATCTGTGAAGGTGGTGTTGATTTGAAGCATGTGAGGTTGCCGCTCAGCTTCTTGTGCTTTCCGGGAAGTTGATTTTTTTTTTTAATGTGCCTAATAACACTCCTTAAAGCAAAGCCCCGTTTGACACCTTTTTTAAAATCCAAGTTCTTTCCAGTGTTCTGATGAACATTCACTTCCTGCCATCCTGAAATCACTCTGTGCTGCGATGTTCTTGGAGGGCTTCTGGGATCAGCCTTCTCAATCTTGGCTTTCTGCCACGAGTGTCTTCCAAATCCTGGTACCCCATTCTGTCATCTGCAATGCCGCACGATCAAAAACTCAGAGTAACTAAGGGTGGCACCAGCCCTGGCCCGTGGAGTGGTCCACCTTATCATTGCAGCACAGCCATCTGTAGGCTTTCCAGAGAAGGGGGGGGGTGTCTCCCCCCCCCCCATGGCATTGTTAAAGTTGCACAAAGAGAATTCCTCATTTTGAGGGACAGGCTTGCAGTTGTGAAAGAACCCCAGCAGGACAGAGCAAAGGTGCTTCAGAAATCTCTTGATCCTGGAGAATTAGCAAAGAGATAAATTGCTCTTGGGCAAGATGTGGGGGGGGCGTCCCTTTCTAGTGCCACTGAACGATTGTCTTCCTCTTTCTCGCAGACTGTTGGATGGACACGGATGGCAGCCACTGGTGGGAAGCCATTTTGGGGGAAGGAAAGGTCACTCATACTGACAGGCTGGAAGGCTTGCTGCCCCCCAAATCTTTGATTTGCTCTGATGCCATCACTCTTCAGGCCTCTGTGCCCTGTTTGCTTGGCTCTCCAGAGCAACTGGTTTAGTCACTACGTGAAAATAGATGAACCCCTAGTCTGATCCAGCAGGGCTGTTCTTACATTCTCTTGGCAGTGTTTGTTCTCTTAGCGATGGCAGACATTGCCCTGCCTGGTTTGCTGGTGGGTTCATCATGGCCCACTGAAGGCCTGCCTGAAAGGTGGGAGGGAGGGAAGAGGGCAATGTCTGGTGAGCAAGGTGGCTTCAGGAGGCCTCTGGATGTGATACGCCTGACAGTCGACAGCACCTTTCCCCCCTTTTAACTTTGCAGTGTCTTGTGAAGGGTAAAGCCAAGGTCAGTTTCTGCCACCTGGTACAATTCAGCAGTCTTGTCCTCTCCTGGGCAACCCCCCTGCCGTGGTATGTATCAGTCTGCCCTTCCGAGATAACAGAGTAAGGAAATACCACCTTCAAATTGCACAGCAGGTTTTCAGTGGAGAATACAAGGTTGTGAAAAAATGCCTCTAGAAACAGGCTTGAAGAAAACATGGTGGAACTCTTCTTTTGGTAGGGCACAAAAAGACACGTTAGTGGGGAAGGCATAGAGCAAAGCAGCATGGGGAAATGGGGAAGAATGAAACAGTGAGTGGAAGAGGAGGAGAACAAAGTTAAAAGAAGATGGGAAGGAGAAAGGGGGGGGGTGATGCAGGGCCAAGGAGAATGGTCTGGGAACCCAGTAGAACTGAGATTCAGTTATTTAGGGACTTAGTTCTAGGAGGCTGCATTTGTTCCTTCCCCCTTCATAAGTCAGCTTTCTTTTCTAGTATGAGGAAAGAGCTTTTTCCCAGTATGAGCTTTTGACAATGGATACTGATTTAGTCAAGAGGGGGGATGCTTTTGTCTCCCCACACACAAAAAAAACCTGTAATCATACTGTGCAAAGCCTCTCTAAGTCTGGATTCTTTCCAGGACAGGGAGCACATAACTAGGAATGTGCACATTTAGGCTACAGTTCTTCGTGGTTTAGCAATTCATAGAAAGCAGGTGGCGCCCCTGGGCCGTGTAAATGTAGGAACACTCAAGTCCCTGGCGCATAAGGCACATAAGCTTACTGATCTTAAAAGTCCATTGTGAGTTGGCACAGAGAAGTCCATTGTGAGTTGGCACAGAGCAGTTGCTGAGTGGATTTTGGTGCCTGGTCCCTTGTCACGTCTGCACATTTTATGTGGTATATGTGAAACCACTACATGGTAATTTTTAATGCAGTTAAATTACCTTCTTCGTGGTCTCTGTGCATCACACCTCTGGGATATAGTGAGCCTGCGCTGACCTCGATCGGTTCCTCTTGAAAGCGAAAGGGATTTTCGTGCCCGCTCCTCCGTCATGCGCCGGCCCCACTGCGCATGACTAAGGGAGGGGCAGTACAATCCTGCCAGTTCTCTTCTGACCGCCGTGCTGGTTGGATCTTCTCCACTTAGGTTGGTAAAAAAATTGGGCTCTAGGCCAGTTCCTCGTTTTTTCTTTTTGTTTATTTGTTAAGTGAAAGGACTTTCTTTCTACGGATTTATTTCCTTGGACTCTGTAGTGTGTCCCCCCCCCCCTTTCCGGCCTATGGCCAAGAGGTGGGGTTTCTTTAACGGTGCCTTTGTGTGGGAGTAAAGATCCCCCCCCCCCGCCCGGATGCACACTCACTTTGTTTTTTTGTGCCTCGGGGAATTGCACCGAGGGGACTCTTCTGCTCCTTGCATGAAGTTCTCTAGCAGACAAGGAAGAACAGAGCTGCCAGACTTTGTGTCGTGTTTCAGAGTTCGTGCTTTCACCGATGTCGTCGGGACACTTCTGGACATGCGTCAGTGTCGACTGCCACCTCGGCATCGACGGGTTCCCGATACCGACGCATATCAATGTCGACCGCCTCATGCTTACACTCAGCCCAGACATCTTCGTCCGATGCCTATACTCCTTCCATAATGCAGGGAAGGCAAGGACACTCGGCCAGTCAAGCTAAAAGAGCATAAGACAACTCCCCCTGTGCAAACTCCGCTGACCCCTGGGAGGACCATGGCACTGAATCCTATGGGGGCTGCTTCACTTGACTCTCTGTGCCGAGAGAAGCCACAAGGTGCACTTTGGTCGCCTTCGCTGCGTCCTATGCAGCTCACTGACAGAGCAGGATATGGACTTCTCATGGATCTCCCAGTCTTCCAGTGTCAAAAACTGGCACTCCAACTGCTGAGCTGAAGCATTTGGTCCATCCGTCACTGCCCCAAGCTGACAATTGAGAACGGCCATCGGCACCGATACACCGCCACCCCCACCCACCCCTGGGAAGGGGCTGTGGCGATACTGGTATGGGGCCGCGGTATGCCATGGTTCCCAGCCCCACTAGGGAATGGGACCATCAGTCTACCCTCCCGGTATTGAGATCCTCCTTCGACACCAGAGTTCGCGAGGACCCAACCATCGAGGGCGACGGGCAAATC